TGTTTCATCCACCACATACCTGGGCCACACGCGTACTGTTCCCGGATTTGCCTCAGATTCGAGGATCTCAATTCGCTTGTTGACAAAGCTGCAGACACATATATTGACTTGGCGATTAAAGTGGATAGAGACTTTATCACCAGGCGAGCCTGGTTACATCGCCTTGTTCCTCAATCGGTGAGAGGAAAGGAAGGTGAATTGACCGGCCGGGAGACATGGATCCGGAGGCGGCTCCAACGTCGGTGCCCGACCACACCAAGGGCAAACCCATTCCTCGCGGCGCACACTGATATCGTGAAAACGATGGGCTCTTCTTGCCATGGCAGTTTTTCAGGGCAGCCCGATGCGCAACGGGTAAACAATTCGGCACTTGGCTTCGTTCTCTGCCCCCGGTGACACACGATTGCCACCGTCACTGCTCACCGGGAGCTAGCGCCAGCCGCGGCTGGCGGGGGCGATCTCCAGGAAAATGGAAACATGTTCGGACGAGTTCCTCATGTGGCAGGTCGGTGTTGTCCTGCACCGCCAGATAGAACATCTGCCGCTCTGCTGGTGGAGAGCGCACACGGAGGAGGTGGGCTCCTCATCTCTTGCTTTAGTCATGTCGAGAACCGTTGCTGGCAGCGCCAAGAACCAGAAATATTTGTCACAGGGTAGATGCCCGCTGTAGAGTGGGACGTTCCAGTAGCGTCGAGGTCTAGAAGGACAGGTGAACAAACGAGCGCAATCCGTGTCGCGTTCACCGAGTAGGGCTAGAGGTGTGGTTAGACGCGGAGGTTTGATGGGGTTTGTGTGTGGGTTTGCGGCGTTGAAATCCATTTTACTGTGTAAAATGCAGCCACCTGCCTGGCCTGAGGGTATATTAAAGGATAATAACGTGGAAAGTACTACCTACGGAGCTGGCCTCTTTTGGCAGGCGCAATCTCATAAAAATGGTTCGTCCCATATCGCAACTCGTCTGATATATGCCTAGGTATTTTCCGTGTCTGAGAACTCTCTGCGCGAACATGTCCAAGAAGGGCATCTTTGCTGTTGGTGGAATTTCTCCTCAGCGGTGGGGATCGAACGGGCCAGTCCCAGGTCCAGGAAACCCACAGCTGGCAGTGCCCGCTGTCTTCTATCCGGGCCTGGAAGGAGGATCTGGATAACCAGAGCTCCCCAGAAATGATTTGAGAACCCTTTGTGAGCCTGCCAGTGGTGCGCGTGACGTCCTCTGTCTTCATCTCTGGGAAAGTAAAGGGTTAGGGTTATCTTCGACGCCTTGTTTTCTTTACCCCTTTTTTTCCCTTGGCTGCTTCCGTCTGAGACTTGGAATGCTTGACTTTTTTGCTTGTCTCGCTCAACGTCTCGAGTTAGTGGCCGAATTGGAACGGTGAGCGAAAACAGTTTACACCCTACGCCTTGTCTGAGCGGTTTCCCCAGCCCTTAATGTTTATTTCCGGGAAGGTGGTGTCCACTCTCCCTAGAAGCGCCAAGTTTTTATCGAACAGCGGAGTCACAAAACTCGCCCCCCTTACGACCCCAAGTCGCATTCTCCGTTGCGCCGTGTTGGAAAATGGGTAGCCTCCAATCCTGCGCGAAAACGATGTCGTTGAGATGAAGTGTTTGGACTGACCTTTGGGAGGAGGCAAGGTGCGCCCCTTTTCCTGAATAGGTACGAATTTAAGCTACGAAGACTGGAGCGCGGGTCCAAGGGAGGATGAGGCTGCGAGCGAACACAAACGCAACCTCTCCCGTGCTCGCGCGACTCAGGTCAGCATTCCATGTAGATGCCAAGAAGGTCGACGATGGCGACCCTGCAACACAGCTAATGCACCTCCGGGATTGCCCCCGTCCCCGCTAGCTCCGCCATTGGCAGCATCCAGGATTGCGGCTGGACGTGGTCTGGCGGCATCTCGAACTCGTAGTCGCCCGTCCCCGACCGTACCCAAGCAATCAAGGCGGCGCAACCACGGCAGCTCAGAGAAGCTTGCAAGAGCCTGCCCCAGGCACAACCATACATGGTAGAATATCCCATCGTCACCGAAACCGGAATTTCAATTGGCTTAGCAAGCATGGGTCGCAAGGAACCCCCGAGGGGCGGCCAGGTCCGTTGCAAGCCTCGGGGCCACCACTACGGCGCTGTGGAGGGATATCCTCGTTCTGGATGCGCACACTGGAAGGGGAAGCTGCCCGGATTCATCTCTGCTGTCATTGGTCCAGGCGCCGCATGCCGCATTCTCATACCCGGGCGCATAGTAATGAGGGACACTCTAGCATTCCTGTGAGTTTGCGGGGCATCAAGTGGGACATGGCCGTTGTTGCCGCACATGCGGAGGGTTCTCATATATTTATATGACTGCTCTTGCCCGCGAATTCCCATCCCGACGCGTTCAGACGCACATCCCCATTTGGCATACGGGTTCCAGTAGCCATCGGGCTGTCTCACGGATCATGTCGATCACGTCTGGTTCCGGTCCCGTTGCGGCCGAAGAGTTGTCCTTTGGCAACGAGAAGCAGGGTCTCGAAGCGCCTGTGCTCACCAAGGGTGATGATGACTACGCCGTCGGTATCACAGCCGACGGCGAGGTCCCGACGGAAGAGGAGCTGAAGACTCTTCGTCGTGTTTCCGACAAGATCCCCTTCAACATCTACACCATCGCCTTCATCGAGCTGTGCGAGCGCTTCTCGTACTACGGCACCACGGCTGTCTTCACCAACTTCATCCAATGTGAGCGGTGGAACACCCGCCTCAGTCGATTTGCAATGCACTAACACAACCCCAGGGCCGCTTCCCCCCGGATCGACAACGGGTGCCAACTTTGGCCAGGGGCAGGCCGGTGCTCTCGGTCTGGGCCAACAAACCTCCACTGCGTTGACGACTTTCAATGCTTTCTGGCAATACTCTATGCCTCTGTTCGGTGCCTACATTGCCGATAGCTATCTTGGACGTTTCAACACCATCGCTCTAGCTCTCGGCATCGACATCCTCGGTCACGTTGTTCTCATCACTTCTGCGCTTCCTCCCGTCATCAAGAATCCCGATGGTGCCATGGCCGCCTTCATTCTCGGTATCATCACCATGGGTCTTGGTACCGGTGGTTTCAAGCCCAACGTGAACCCCTTGATCGTGGAGCAGCTCGACCTGGACCACATGATTGTCAAGACACTTCCCGATGGCGAGCGTGTCATTGTTGATCCTCACCTCACGGCCAGCAGAGTCTATCACTACTTCTATCTCTTCATCAACATCGGTGCCTTGGTTGGACAGATTTCCATGGTGTATTGCGAATACTACGTCGGCTTCTGGCTGTCTTACACACTGCCAACAATCATGCTTTGCTTCTGCCCTCTGGTCATGCTCTGGGGTCGCAAGCGCTACAGGCGTGTCCCCCCTGAGGGCTCCATCCTCGGCAAGGCCTTCAAGCTCCTCGGGCTCGCATGCAAGGGACGGATATCCATTAACCCTGTCCGAACCTTCAAGAATATTCGCAGCGACAATTTCTGGGAGGCTGTCAAGCCTTCCAAGCTTGGAGCCAACAAGCCGAAGTGGATGGACTTCAACGATGCCTGTGAGTCTCTCCCTAAGTGTCTCCTTTGTCAGACAGAGTCCCACAGCTAACTCTCCGCCTGTAGGGGTTGATGAAATTGCACGTGGCTTCTCTGCCTGTGCTGTCTTCTTGTGGTATCCTCTCTATTGGATCTGCTACAACCAGAGTAAGTCATCCGTCTCCATATTCCTTGGTTCAGTTACTGACTTATTTTGTTAGTCAACAATAACCTCATCTCCCAGGCTGCCGTTATGCGACTTGGCGGTATCCCCAACGATGTGTTGACCAACCTCAACCCCTTCTCTCTGATCATCCTCATCCCCATCATGGACACGATCATCTATCCAGGCCTGCGGAAGATTGGTATCCACCTCACACCCCTCAAGCGTATCACGGCTGGATACTTCGTCGCTGGTTGCTCGATGATCTGGGCGTGTGTTGTCCAGTACTACATCTACCAGCGCAGCGACTGCGGCAAGTACGCTTCTGGCTACCTTGATGCTGAGAAGACGGTCCGCTGTCCCAACGTCGACATCAGCGTCTGGGCTCAAACGGGTTCCTACGTGCTTCTTGCTCTGTCCGAAGTTCTGGCCTCCATTACCTCGCTGGAGTATGCGCACAGCAAGGCGCCCAAGTCTGCGCGTTCCATGGTCCAAGCTGTGTGCTTGTTCATGAATGCCATCGCCAGCGCCATTGGGTTCGGCCTCGTTCCTCTTGCCAAGGACCCCTTGCTCGTCTGGAACTTTGCGGTGCCTGCCTTTTTGGCGTTCATTGGCGGAACCATGTTTTGGCTGCAGTTCCGGAAGCTGGATCAGGCGGAGGACCGTCTCAATATGCTGCCCCCAGCCACTGTCGCGGCCGAGGCTGAGGACGCGAAGGAGGTGAAGTCTCACGCTTAGACTATTTGGGAATATTGAGATGTACATGTAGCGCTTTGGTGCATATTTGGGTTGAGATGGGATATGACTGGACGGCAACATGTCTTGGTTTCATGTGATACCAGCCTTCAAGGCACCTTTGTGGAAGTGTTGAATTGACGTTTTTGCGTTCTTCGTATATATCGAACTTGTTCAGAATCATGTTGCCTTTTTGCAGCACAAGTTGCGGTGATTGGCACCACGTCCCGATAAGCTGAAGGTGGCGAGACTGTGCCCCTGTGCCTTGCTTGCCTGCATACTTCGCTCTCAGCCCTCTGCACGTCTCAACATAAACACTGGGTTATCTTGGTTTGGCTGCCCGGTCCACTAGAAACCCCCAACTTAGCACGGCAACGACCCCCAGCATCAGTCACTCCTAGGTGCTCGGGGGGAAAACGCCATCATTGGAGCCCGACCCTTCCTACAACCACGGCGCCTTCCAGGCTGGCGCTCTCAAGACAGGCAACATCAACAACGGAGTCAAAAAAAAACCGATAATCTGTAGATGGATGATAAAAAACATAAAACAAGGGACGCATAAACCCCACTAGCTTGCTCGATAAAAGGATTGAACTGTTGGCCTTCGCATTACATGATACAGAGGGATGAATACCCTTTCTGTATTAGTACGACGCTCTAACCGGCTGAGCTAATCAAGCATGAGTTATTGTCCTGTTGTTGACATTGAGTTGGGAAGCAAAAAACACATGGGGGTGAGGGCTTGGGGATGTCGTGACGGAGAGGTGGATAGGACTGGCTACGGTGAATGTTGTGGAATATAGCGTGTAATTTAAACCTGCTATGTCAGCGTGGATACATACCATTATTAAATGAATCGGCGGGGTTCTACACTCTGCAATGGAGTACGCTCTAGCATGCAGAAACCGCCCAATTTAGAGGCTACCTGAAAGGTTCTGCTTGTATGACACCATGCAATTCTAGAATTGTTGATGAAAATGTTGGACCTCTATCGTGACAGGACCGAGGTCTCGGCCACGCGCAGAAACGCTTGCTGAGCCTCGAGAAGTATGAAAACTCGACTTGCTACCTCCCTCGACCTGAACAGGGCCGTCTAGTACCGTCTAGCCTTCCTAGTGGCTTCTGTTGTTGGATGCTAGGTTATGAATGCTAGGAGTTCCAGCGTCAGTTCAACTTAGGCAAGTGGCTCAAGAACAAGCATACCTGATATCTTCACGGTTCTGAGGACTCCTCGGTTCATTGGTTATCGCAGCCTCCTCTACCGTCCTCAAATCAAGTTTGAAACACCCTTCCGGCCGCGAGACACTAACGGGACCACTATTCCCCACGAGGGCCGAACTGGCCTCATCAGCGCCAGCCATCTTTCGTTTCTTGCCTCGGCTCTCGTTCAAGTGTTCAAAGTAGCCCTCGGGAACTTCGGTCTTGTAAGTGCCGCAGAACACGCCCACCTCGAAATCCTTGATCTCAGAGTTGGGCGACGCTTCTGCACACGCCGCCTTGAGAGCGCCGAGGTCCTGGTAGATGACGTCGTCCGCATTGATGTGCTTGGCGATGTCTTGCCTCGTCTTCTCGTGCGCAATCAGCTCTTGTGGGCTGGCAAGGTCAATTCCATACTATTTGCAAGGATTAGTACGGGGTACAACGGTCTGATGATTGACCAGCTTACGATATGAGGGTGTTTGATAGGAGGCGCGCAGGAAGCAAAGATGACCTTGCGTGCGCCAGCTTCCCGCGCCATGCTCACAATCTCTCTGCTGGTGGTGCCACGGACGATGGAGTCATCCACAAGACACACGACACGGCCGTTGAACTCCGACTCCATGGCGCTCAGCTTACGCCGCACGCTCTTTTGTCGGGCCTTCTGACCTGGAAGGATAAAGGTCCGGTAGACATAACGGTTCTTTACAAACCCGTTTGAAAAAGGCTTGCCCAGTCTCTCTGAAACGACGGCCGCGGCTGTGTTGCTGGTCTCTGGGACGGGAATGATAACGTCGATCTCCTTGAGTCCTTCCTCGCCCAGTATTTCTCTGATCTTGTCTGCGAGCTTGGCGCCCATGTTTTGACGACTGCGGTTGATAGAAATACCGTCCATGACTGTATCCGGGCGGGCGAAGTACACATACTCGAAAATGTCGGGAGCATAGTTTTGCTTCTCAGCCACCTGGCGGAACTCTGGCTTTCCACCTTTTTGAATGAAAACTGCCTGCCCTGGGAGGATATCCTGGAAGTCCTTAAAGCCCAGTTGGCGGAGGGCGATGCTCTCAGACGCGAACATGTAGTCGATACCTCCCTCCAGCGTTGCCGACGGGCGGCTTCCCATAATAAGCGGTCGGATGCCGCTCTGGTCGCGGAAGGCTCCAATGCCGAAGCCAGCAACCATCAGCGCGCCAGCCCAGGCGCCCTTGCACTTCTCGTATGTTTGCGACACAGCGCTGAAGATGTCATCTACGTTGACACGGACCTTTCCAGTCTCATTGAGAGCATTGGCGAAGATGTTGAGCATGAGCTCACTGTCCGAGTCCGTGTTTACGTGTCGATGCGCCTCCTTGTCGAGGTAGGTGCGCAGTTCAGGAGCGTTGATCAGGTTACCGTTGTGCGCAAAGCAGATTCCGTATGGCGAGTTGACATAGAACGGCTGGCTCTCGGCACTCTAATGGTTTGTTAGCTGAAGCTCATCTTCGATAAGCAGAAGATGTAACGAGAAGCAGAGGTTGGGGCCGTACCGAGCTCGTGCCAGCGGTGGGATACCGGAGGTGAGCGATGCCCATATACCCGGGCAGATCGTTGACGCGCTTTCCATCCTCAAAGACCTTGGAAGCCATGCCGTTGCCCTTGCACTGGAATATCCTGCCACCGGCCGCGCACGTGGCGATTCCGCAAGCATCCTGGCCGCGGTGTTGGAGGTAGTACAGACTTTCGTGTAAGTCGACCGAGGCATCGGCATTGCCGGAGTCGGTATCAGCGAGAATCAGCCCGAGAATGCCGCACATCTTGCCGGTTGCTCTCGAGGTGACTGAAAAGAGGCGTCGAAGGTAGCAAACACGTTCCTCTGAGGGTGTTCAGATCCTCGACAAGACTTGGGCACCCAAGGGTCGGGCAGTAAGAGAACTCGGCGGAGACGCTCAGTTCACCTAGGCGCGCCAAGCGAATGGCCGAGATCGGTTCGTAGAGGCGTGGAGACGGGTGATGGATGCCGGGGTATGGATGGGGGGGTGTGTGCAAGTGAAGAAGGGAAGTTTGGTGACAGCGACTCAAGATTTTACAGCCATCGTTGCAGAAATAGAATTCGAGTATCAAAAGGCGGTGGCGACTGGGAATGGAGTCCTGGAGCCATTTCTGGCAACAAAGTTGAACGGTCTTGCCGGATAATCTGCAAGCAAGCGACTCAATGCCATGGAGGGGAAAATTTGGGACAAGAGGGGCTTTTAATGTGGGGCAACTCATGGCTATCTTATCGAGATTGCCGAGATTCTCGACCATCGATTGGCTACTACCGTCGTCAACGGTCGCACCCAACCTTCCTCGTGCGACCGAAGAGCTTCCATGAGCCGCAAACCCGAATGTAAGCGATTTTCAGCCTCTTGGCGCTCCTATCGTTCCTTCGCTTTTTATGCCTTATTTTCAAAAATTTGACGATGTAGCGGCAAACATGGAAGGCGCTCTAAGCTTCGAGACCCCTGGTTGAATCTTGACAGACATTCAGGCCGTCTTTGGGACGGAAGGGTCTGGCGGTGTCCAACATGCCTCGAGCATGTTTCTTCCTGACTTTGGGTGACAGTGTAGCACCACCGCCTGCATGAATTCGTGGAAGCCCACGAGGTCGGGTGCCCAACTTCTGTCGTCGTATTTGCACGTCCAGTCTCGAGCCAAGCACTCCATTTGGCCTCGAGCCCTCTCATGAGATTATATATTGAGACATAGCTCCTCACTGCGTTGGGTTTGCATTTCCCAACCCTCCACTACCGCACCACCTGTGCTGAACCCTCATGAGGCCAAAAAGCAGAAAAAAAAACAAAAAAAAACACAAGAGGATAGAAGGGAGCAAGAACATACAAGATCGGGGATTCGCTGGCCGTCACCGAACCAACTACTATTCTGGCCGTCACTGGTTTACTGAGGGGAGAGCGGGCGGGATCCCAGGTTCTGCAAAGGGTGTGGTCGCATGTGGAACGTTGTGCTGAAGAAGAACGTTGTCAACAGATCACCCATTGGCACTGAGAATCGCTACACGGCCCCCAAGATGGCGTCCGCGGCGACTCCGGCCCGCAGGCAATCCCCAGGCCGTTGCCAGTTCTCTCGACGAGGCTGCTGCCATGCAAGCAGAGTATTGAGAACGGCAAATCCCGACACCTCGTGATTTCCGTAGTTCATGATATCCTGCCAGGCTTACTCGTAAACAGCCACGCTCCTTTCAACCCAAAGCGTCAAGGAGTCAGGCTTGCATGGGCGTGGGTCACCGTCGACGTCCAACGTCATCCCTTATGCCCCATGTTCGTGACCATTTTGTCCCCCGGATGAGACAACGACATGGTAATCTGTCCAACGGGAGGCAGTGTAACCACCCCAACAGGGGATCGGGGCGGTTGGCTAGAAGTCGGAATCGGGATCTAAACATCAGACCGTCGCGGCAGGTCCCACGAGGTCACGGTGTCGGTGGGCACCGGGACGCATAGATGTTAATCCTCCGGGTCAGTACGCCAAACCCCAAAAACCGTATTGTTGGGTCCTCTTGGTTTTGTTTGATCATAAACTCACAAGTTGGAGATGCGGACCGCCGCCACGAAGATCCCACGGCGACGTCGGAAAGGGGCAAACTCTTTGAGCGAATGGAAGGCATGAATGATGGGTTGAGATCGGCATCGCCGACAGCGATACATCGTGATTCCAGGTGATCTCTTATCGCCTGATCTAGCTACTCGCTAACCATCTGACGTCGTCGGGTATTTCACCACGATCGCGTTCTTGGGGCGTTTCAGACCGCTGCAGGTGGGCCTAGAGAGGCGATGTTGGCCCAGCTTGAAGCTGGCAGCCCGTCCAAAGATCATATTGGCGTCAGCGCCGGGTTCTGTCTGGGGTCCGAATTCAGCGCAATTGATCTAACAAAACAGAATGCCACTTAGCTATATTTGTGTTTTCGACGAGGCTTCGAAGGAACTCCGCCCAGATAATTCCGTGCCGCACTCATCGTGGCACTGCTGGAGCATCCTGTCATTGCTGTTAGTTGCGGCGCCCCCAAGTCGGTGACACAAGGAACAAACACCATGCTGCTTACCTCACCTAGAGTGCTCTCCTGATGAGCTGGGATGGGGATCAATCAGATATTATTGCCAAGCAGCTACCGCTACTGACCTTTGGCATTGCGTTCATCCCGAGGGGCATGCCGATAGTCTGCCAGTCGTTCACCTTGACTGGTGTCGGAAACGAGATGGAACTCCTTAACTCCCGTCCATCCCTGTTTCGCTGTGTTGATAACTTCCGTGACCCAGCACATGCGAAAGTTGCAGCGTTCGAAGATTGCCAGAGTGGTAGGAACACGCCGCCTCGACGGGCATCGAAATTGGGGCGTGCAGCGGGCGTCACTTCGCTCGGTGAGAACCGGCAGCTAGTGGCATGGGGGCCCGGGCGAAAAGCCAACCGGTCGCTAGAGACGAGATAGAAGGGAACAAAAAGGTAAACGCGC